TAACTTAGTGAAGTGTTTGGTGCAGTATCGGATTAACAAGTAGGATAATGAAAATAATACTGTAGTTTATTGTCAAAATTAATTTATTATTAATTTCTTCACATAATCTATCTCGGCTTCCCTTCTCGATCTCGAGTCCACCAGCAAGCTGCTCCACTTCTCTTATTAACTTCACAATTTCACCATCTCTCTAATCATCGACCTCTCAATCTCAAACTTTATCTCACATCAATTGCTTCATCTGGGTTAGAACAAAAACACCACAAACACTCTTCTCCAACTCTAACCCAACATTTTCCTTGCTCTACTCACTCAACTCGCTCATAAGCGGCTCAATCTGCACGGCGAAACCGACTCAGCTCGAACTCCAAATTTGCCTTGCCCTGCACCAGCGACTCCACCTGCTGCTGGCGGTCCTTGGTTTCCTTGAGGAGCAAAGAATTCAGTGACTTGAGGTTATGGGGCTTCTCGAATGGCTCGTCCATGGCGGTGGTGGCGACAAGAAATATGAGATTGGGGATTTTTTGCAAGTGATGGTTGGTGGTGGGAAATATGAGATGGGGGATTTTTTGTGGTTGATATTGGTGGTGGGAAATATGAGATTCGAGATTTTAGAGGATGATGACCATGGCGAAGCGAAGTAGCTTGCTAGGGATAGTCTGCATATCTTAATTAAATCCTATCAAAATCCAAAATTAAGAAGCTCAGAACTCACAGAGGGGCTCGCAGGGAAAAGGAAGACGCATGTCTTAGAAAGTCCCATGGTTTGGGGAGCGCCTCGCTAAGAACCTTTAAGGAGGCCTCTAGTCCACACGAGTCCCCTTTAGTCCCACTTAACTTAATCTCAGCACCTATCAAACATGGAATTGTAGTCCAATCTAGTCTAGTCCCACTTAATGGGGCCAAACAAACGCACCGTACCCTTTCGTATAATTTTTCAATTTTTTAATCTTAAGTGTACTACTTCTTAAATATACCAATTTATTATAATGTGAAATGTACCCTTTTTTATGTAATACTCATTCACTTTTTTTCTAATCTATTTTTATTTAAATTATATGGGTGCATTTTTTTTCGTTGATTTGAGAATGTAACTATATCGAATTTATTTGAAGAAATTTACTATTGTTATTAAGACTTTTTTTTTTTTTTTTTTTTGCGGTTTTGAAAAATATACCCATATTTTTTGTTTGAAGAATCTACCACATGTTTAATGGTATTATTATTTTTTTATTAATTTTGAAAAATGTACCCTTGTTTATATATATTATACAATATGTTTTATGTATATGTACATACATTTTATGGCAAAACATGATTTTTTTTTTATTGATTTTGAATTTTCTTTCACGGTGGGGAGCATAATTTTTTTTATTTATTCATTTATTGAATCACACAAATTTTGGGACTTATTTAAAATCTCATTAATATAAGCAACTACGAATTTCAATGTTCAAGTTAAAATATAATAACCGACATGGAAATAGATCAATACATTAATTAAGGAACTTCAACAAAAACTAAAAACTAATAAGGTTTTAGGCAAAGTATATCGGTAGCTAAGGACCGCATCAAAAATCTCCCAAAAAGAAATTATTAGACACAATGAGGTTCCAAAGGAAGAGCTTTAAGCATGTATACTGAAATCTTATTCATAACACAATTCATATGTTAGATAGGAGATAAAGAAATTATCTAAACTAGTTGACTTGAGCTTACTCAAGTTGACTATAGCAATATCAATGTATTTTTCTCAATGCACCTAAGTTTGAATCTCTCTCTTTGTAGTTTATATTATCCTATTGTTTGTCATAAATTATCTAATTGTAGCTATCTTGGTAACTATGTTCCTTTGCTGAGTTATTTGCATTAATTCTGAGTTTTGTATATGCCCCTTTGAAATCTAAGAGTAAAGTGAATAATGCCCCAGCCAAACCGAAGTTTCTCTACCTTATCATAAATAACTTAGCACCAACTCCCCCAAGACGGGGGGGAGGGGATTTTTGCATTCGAAGTTTAGCTTCCTACAGCCGAACTCTAACTAGCATTTGCATAACAATTTATACCTAAAAATTGTCTTCCATTAAAACCATGGTTCTGTTAGGGGTCTAAGGCCCAATAAAAAACTAGTTGCAAATGAGTCAGGGCCTAATATTATCTAATCCAAGACCAACAGAAGCAAGCCCACACTCAACAAAACTCATGGCCCAATGTACTTTCTTCACCTCGCCAACACCCATATTCAATTGAAATTTTGATGGATTTATAAATTCATAGATTTTAATGGAGCTTAATTGATTATAAAGATTCCATGTAAAATTGTGATTTAATTCCCTTGAAATCTCAGAGAGAGGTGAGATGCTTAAAATATACTACAAAATCGAAATCTCTCTAATTTTCTCAAATTCCTCAACTTTAAAAAAAAAATCAATACTAATTGATACACCTTGATCGTTATAAACTTCTTTAAATATACCCGGATTTATAATGATTTCAATAATATATTTTAAAATCATGATTGAATACATATTGAATTTCTAAAAATCAATTAAAATCTTGATTAAATACCCCTAGATTTAGTAAAGAACCTCAAAATTCCAACTGAATACACACCCCCTTACGTTCGTCTTTCTTTCTTCTCCTCCTTCGTCTTTCTCTCTCCCACCTACTTCTTCCTATTGTTTTCCTAGATTTATGAGTGTTTTTTTTTTTCCATTATAAGAACCATTGGAATTTTTTAATTTTGATTCTAGTATTTCTTGAAGGTTTTTTTATTTTGAAGTTTTTATGATTTGGATGTGTGAATTTTGAAATTGTTTTTACAAAAATGCTAAAATTTTGAAACTGATCTTGCAGAAGTTCTGGAATTTTTAAACTAATCTTCCAAAAATACAAAAATTTAGAAACTGACCTTGCAGAATTGTTGGAGTTTTGAAACTGATATTACAGAAAGTGCACGTATACTAGAATTGTGAAAGATCTTGAAAAGTACCAAAAAAAAAAAATTTAAGTTGATCTTGCAAAAGTGCATGTTGTGAAAGATCTTGTAGAAGTGCATAAAATTTCGAAACTATCTTGCAAAAATTAGTTTTTACGGATCGAAAATAAGTTTGAAGTAGGACTCTATTTCAAATGGAACAAATCATAAACAAGAGTTCCAAATTCCATCCCAAAATATTCAGAATTTAATTTAGCTTCCGATTCCAACCCGAAAATTTTCGAATTTAATTTTAGCTTTCGATTCCAATTCGACATTTTCAGAAATTAACTGATTATTCCAAAACGGAATTTTTGGAGTTTAATTTTAGCTTCCGTCCAATTCGAAAATTTGCAAATGAAATTGATTATTCCGGATTTTACGTCCGAAAAATGAAAATTTTTGGAATTCCCAAAAATCTAAAAGTAAATAATTCTAAGTTGGGCCAAGCATTACCACAAAAGGAACCAAAAGGCCCTCGTTGCTTACACCCCCACGGGCCCACCCCCCAAAAAATGCCCAAAAGGCTTGACATCGGCTTCAACGCTGTCGCTCGTTTCCTGCGGTGAACGATGTGGGACAAAAGAAACTTGTCCATTCTAGTATAATCTCATACAATGAAAACTAAGCAAATCATATGCATATTTGTATTTTAGAATTTCTATATCACTTTTTGAGTAATATGTTTCATTTGTCATGTTGATGATTATATTTTGGCTCCTTTTTTTTTTTTTTTTAGGTTTATTGGGATTTGGGCTTTTATCTTCTTAAAACGACTCAAAACTAGTAGAGTCCTATGAAATATATTGTGTTTTTTGACTCTATAAGTAAAGCTCCCTATACTTTTACTCAGTGTTACTTTGTTTATAGGTTTTCCTAAAAGGAATTCCTTTAGGACCAACATTTTCTTGAATTTTGTTTAGCTAGTAAACAATAAATAAATGTCATTTAGTACTTTGTTTAGCTAGTGTCTAATGTATTCTTCTTCAGTTACAACTGAAAAAGTTTAGCTTTGATTCTTGTGAATGCTAATTAGATAATGAGAAATACTAAGGAGACTCTTAAAATGGGACTCTCCATAAACTCTCGATCACCTCATATTTTTAACTATATTTTATAATGTTAACACAAGAATTATCGTTAAAATGTGAGATAACAGAGAGTTCATGAAAAATATCTCATTTTAAGAGAATCTCCTTGATTCTCTTAGACAATAGAAACCAATTTATTCATATACTGTTCAGTTAAATATAAAAATAGACAAATAATCTAAACTACATTAATAAGAATGAGGATCCTCTAACCCTACACCCTTGCACACCCAAAAGCTACTCCCACCCCACAAACCCGAAATTTGAAAATTTTGTGTGGAGTAGTTCTTTTTGTATATCATTTTTTTTTTATCTTTCAGACACTCTTATTAACTTTTGTTCATTGATTTTCCTCAATTTATTCGATCAGACAGTCAAAAATTAAGAAGTGTGTGTAACAAGTAAAAGTAGGTGTTAAATAACACCACCCTTTTGAGTGTCTCTGAAAAAACATGAGGTCCCATTTAATGGTTATGAAGATAACATCATTAATATGTCTCACTTTTAATGTAAGTTAATGAAGAATAAATGTGTTATTATTTAAGTGAAACATTAACCGGTGAAGCTATCATTTGGAGTATAAAGTATTCCGCCAATTAGAGCTTCTCGATCTAGTCCAAAGGATGCCCAATTTTCTTTAACAACCGTTGGATTGTATGAAAGGGCTCTTGGTAACGGGGTATTAGATATTCTAAATCTAAAGGCTCGTTTGATATCCATTTCATTTTCAAATTTCATTTTTTTTTAAATTGAAAACGAAAATCTTATTTGATAAACGGTGTGACAAACTAAACAGTAATAAAATATACTAAAATTTCAAATAATAACATCGCAAAACGGTGTTACATAATCCTCTGAAGTACTATAAATTTTCAAAAAATAACGCCGCGGAAACTGGTGTTACCAGAAACGCTTTAATAGCTACGTTGAAGAAACCCAGCTGTAACCCAATCAGCTGAGCTCTGCTTACTCACATCTTCTCTTCACTCGCATGTGAACCTTGGCCCCCTTTGTCTCCATCTAACCCCGAAAACAACTCAAATCTACCCCTAGATTTGTCTCAATAAACACATCCCCAAAACCTATGATTTTCTCTCTGTAGGTTTTCCATGGCTTCTCCAACTCCATTCACTCTCTTCCTCTGCTGCTTCCTCATTTTTCTCCATCTGGGTCCTCTCATCCAAGCTCAAATCGACGAAACCAGCTTGAAGCTAGTGACGGAGGGTCTGGACTGGCCGGCCGCCACAATGTCGCAGCTGGACGACGAGCTCGAGGAGGCGGATGACGAGGACGGCGAGGACTTGGAACCGGACGTGGAAAACGGGTACGCGCGCAGATCTCTGTTCTGGAGGAGAATGAAGTACTATATTTCGTACGGCGCGCTGTCGGCAAATCGCATCCCGTGCCCGCCGCGGTCCGGGAGGTCTTATTACACCCACAACTGCTTCAAAGCCAGAGGCCCAGTTCGTCCTTACTTCAGAGGATGCTCTAGAATCACCCGATGCAGACGATGATCAGGTGGAGACGATGTTGTTGTTGTTTGATGGGTTTAGATGGGCTGAGTGGTAATTAGGAACTAAGTTTTGGGTATTAGCGTTCGAGGTTGTTTTATTGTTCATGGCATTAAGCATCTACTTGTTGCTGCTGCAGAAGTATTAAGAGTGTAATGTGATTGCTTTTATATGTCTAATTATGTGTTATAGTAAATTAATTAATTAATCTTTTGAATCGTATATCGTTTAGTCATCTGAACAAATCTATGATTCATCATGCATATGCTACTTGATACATATACCGTCAATTTATTTGAAATGTTTGAATGACTAAACGATGTATGTTTCAAATGAACTTTGTTGGAATGATCTTGAAACGAAAATTAAAAATTGAATAGGTCCATTACGAAATTTTTAGGATGGAGATACGTTGTTTGCAATTGGAGGAATAAGCTCATGCAAGTATTATCCTTAGTTTTTTAAGATTGTAACATTGTTCTGGATTCCCAATTTGCATGATTGTTTAATATTGTTATTTTTAAGCACAAATGATTATTTGGTTCAACGATATTCAGTACTAACCCCGAACTCTAATTGTTAAAATGAGCTTAACTGTACTTAACTATCTCAACTACCCTATACCAACTCCTTCAATTTTTCAACAACCACCACCGATTGTAGTTTGCTAGTTGCTACAATTATTACATGTTGCAGAAAATAAAATGCAGGAAAAATCTCACTCGTGTGTGTGGCATTACAGTTTAAATATCAATCAAAACACAAAGTGTTAAGATTTTAATCACAAAGTTTTTTGTTTGTGTTTATATAGATAATAGTTTGTAAGTAGGAATCATATAATCCTTATGGGCTTTCATTGTTTAGATGGAGTGCTAGATTAGAAGGAATCTACTGTATGGCCCATCGCAGAATTTCAATTTGGGCTTGGTCAAAGAGCAAGATACTTTATGGCCTCGTTTCAAGGCTTGGTTGTTTTGCCACTTCGTTATGTTATTTATTTATTTTTTTTTTTTAACTTACCCCTTTATTATGTTGACCGTTGAGTTTTTAAAAGCAAAAATACCTATAATGCATGGCTAATTCAGAAATTATGTTGCACTCAATGTCCATTTTCGTGGAGGATTTTAGTTTAACTTTTTGGTTGATTGACACTCGGTCTTCATTTTGTTGTAGAATTTTGAATTCACTCCTAGTAAACAAGAGTTGTTTGACAAGTGGTGTGTTGTCCAGATTATTAGTGTATATTAGTGCAAAATATAACTTGTAATTTAAAATATTATTTTAAAAAATTAAAATAGGTTGGAGAAACTCGTCGATTGAAAGTCAAACCCTCTTTGGATCAACATTTGGTCTTTAATGGTTCATTTTTTTAGAGTTGTAATGAATAAAAGATGAGTTATTTATTGTCACTCTAAGACAATTGCATGCATTTCTCATTTATAAAAACACAAGGGAACAGATATACATAGAAGTGTGCATAATAAATCAATAATATTTGGTGTAGGCTTGTGGTAGTTAATTTTTTTTAGTGTGAACACCCCCACTCTTCAAACTTACGTAAACAATACGAAGGTCCGCTTGTTTTTTCTTCCCCTTGTAAAATACATATAAACGAGGTTGACTAAGGGGAAAAGTCAAATCACGAACCTTGTAAAGGAGCTACAAAAATATCATTTTGCATTCAAGTGGAAGCCCCGTGCGTTACACTTTCTTGCCTTTTCTTTAGTCGCATAAACTGAGGATCACATCTCTACCACTTGGAAAACAACTTATATAATATAAATATCTTGCCAACGTGATATTTTGTATCAATAAAACAATATCATGTGTATACAAATTTTGACATATCTTCAAATTATTGACATAAGACATTACAAAATCGATTTACATCATTGATCTAAAATATTACAAAATTAGTATACATGTACGATATAAGTTATTCTCCTGTCACTGGAGAGGCTTGAGCACTACTTATTCAAATTGTTATCGTGAATTTCATTTTCAATGGTAGGACATTTAAGATAACGATTAGTTTAATGCAAAAGATCTCTAAAGGGAAAGTTCATAGCCATCGTTGGTTGATAGAATTCCAAAAAATAAAAAATCTAGGAGCCAAGTGTGAGCCTAACTTTTCTTTTCCTATTCGGCCCCATAATATATAACACCAATCTGCCCCCAGTTGTAACGAGAAGCCAGAAAGTGCCAAACTTCGGCGGAGGGTCAAATCAAATACGGCTGGCTACTTACTACCGGCCACCACTTTGATTAATCTTCAAACTCTTGTGAACCGGAAATTTTTGGGTATGATCACGACTTCTCTACAGTGTCATAAAAAATTGTCACATGACGTCGGTTCATGCATATTATAGTAGATTGACTAGTAATTGCACGTGACCGAAATCACACTGGGGTATGTTATAAGCAGTGGCGGCGCCAAAGTAAAGGCAATGAAATCACTTGACCCCAACATTTTGTTTCTTTCTTCCATTAAACTGCCGATTTGACTACATGATCTTGGTAAAATGACCCCAAAAATGCTACTTTAGTCTTAACATCCAATCGATATTGAATTTCTCCATTTTCATGATCTCATAACGATAAATTTCTATCTTCGTTACTTGACTATAAAAATAAAGTAGTAAATGATATGTATCATTCTTTTTCATAGCATATCACGTGCTAACTAAAATTCAAGGAAAAAAAAGTGGAACCTATATTGATTTTGGGTACAATAAGATTAAAATCATTTATGTTACAGAAAAACAGTCAAGCTCAATCTCTTCCATCAATTTTTAAATTGAAAAAATGGTGTGAGCATGTGCTCAGGTAATATATGCAGTGTACTATGAACCTATTAGTATTTATTTATTATAACACGTGAATTAGTATGTAATGCTATTATTGATAAACGCTTTTATTTGTTAGCAATGCCATATAAAGAAGGGAAGTAATTAATTTTCAAACTTTTAAATCAAATTAGACGTGGAGAAGAGGAAAACGAAAATACAAATCACTAATTGACAGAGAAACTCAAATAATGAACCCTAGTGAGACCCACTTGGCTTTACACGGACATGCACTCACTCGATCCTTGACCACACTTGGTGCACGGTCCATAATGCTTGTGCCGTTCTGGGATTGGCTAATATTACTGTAAATGAAGTGGTATCGGTTGATGAATTTTTTTAAGCGAAACACTTATAACATTCTTCAATTACTTTATATCTTTTCTTTAAAGGAAAACTAATGAAAAATGTTTGAAAATTTTGAGTTTTAATGATAAGAACAAAATAAAGAGTAAAGTGAATAGTATCAAAAGTGATTTTTTAATGTAAAAATATGATTTTTCGTTAAAGTACAGAAAATTTTTCATTAAAGTTTTTTTTTTTTAAATCTCTTTCCAAATCACTCTAAATCTTTCCCTGCTTCTTTTGGGCCGAACTATACACAATGAAACAAAATAAATAAATTATAAATTATGAACCGTCGGCTCAAGTTCTCGTGAATTGACTAGTTGGAGGGACAGGGGCCGCACCGTCGGCTTCAAGTATCAACCAACTTTGTTCTGAGTTATCTAAATCTTGCGTCGGCTGCTACTATATGATCATGAACCGACAAATCCCCCAATTTCTACAAGTATGTCAATTTCCCAAGCAAAATACTTGGGGCAAAATTTTATTATTTTTCGATAGGGATTCTGAAAAATACGGCTCAGTATATCAAGTATCATAAGGCTAATTTGGTATTAATGTGCCGTTTAAAAAAACTGATTTTGCTGTACTATGAGAATAAACATGTATAAAATAAAGTTGTTAAGTGTTTGATAAACTTTTTTTTTGCAAAAGTGTTTTTAATAAAATAAAATATAAAAAAAATGTCTGAGTATTTGGTAAACTTTTATATCTGAGTGTTTGATAAATTTTTATATAAATTACTTTGAAGATGTTAAATGACTAAAAAACATATAGCATTTAATGTAGTATAATAATTGTCAAAGACAACAATGTAGTTTCAAAAATTGTAATTTTATTAAACATGTGGGGGTATTCCTACCATTTGAAAAGTTCATTAAATGAGTATTGATTATTATGTTTTGAAGAAAAAAAAAACTTTTTTAAGAAGCATGATAGACTCTGCTTCTGTTTTTCTATGCTTTTCTGCTTCCATTGTCAGCAGTTTTTAAAAAAAAACATTTTTTTTCTTATTTTACCAAACATATTTAATATTCCAGATGTTTTAATAAGTTTTTTTTTTTTAAGCACCACAATCTCAAACCAACCCATAATACAATTGGTTGATTTTTTTTATTAATTTTTCAACTAATTATATTATTTCACTTTGTATATTAGGTCGTGTTCTCGATCCCTTGGAAATCTCTCTGCGATTCCGGTCCAATTTGGTTGCATGTGTTATGGTTGGTCATTTGGTCCTACTTGCACCAACCAATGTACATTTATATATAATGTAACAATAAGCTAATATGTTGGGTAAATTCTCGGGGTCTAGTCTAGTAGTCTGATAAATCCAGAATAATCCCATTTCACATGCATATCTTCATGTGAACACATGCTTGATAGATTAGAAAGTTGACAATGTGGAATGATGGGGTAGGAGGAACATGATTTAAAATTGGTAATAAAATTCACATGAATATGTAGTAAAATTGCAACTAGCTAGTGTTTTGAAACTTATATCAATTGCTTGTCTATGTTGCGGTAAGAGTTCAAATATTGACATTTTTTAAGGAGAAGATGAAAAGGTTCAACTTCATGGCTATTCTTAATCACAATTGTACTATACCATTTACTTTTGGTAATGTTGGTTAATTATAACCTAAAGTGTCAAGAGTGCGTCAACTTAAACCTTTTGTCCAAAAAATAGTTAAGTCTACAGTTAAATCGGTGATGACAAGTAGGCGGCCATATTATTTATGCTTACTCGTGGAGTAAGGGAGAGATATACTACTGGTTGCATGGTAGAAATCTTTAATAATCGGCAGAGGAGAATGAGGGAAGAGTTGTCGATGAACTTCTTTTCTTCCTACCAACACAAAAACAAGGTCACGTAATTGCCATATTAACAAATTAACAGCAGACATTATGGAATCAGACAGAAGGGTTAAATTGATCCAATGTTAAAACATGATAGTGTAAATTGATAAAATTGAAACACTATAGCCCATTTTAAAAGCTGTTCCCAAATCTTAATAGAGAAATGTTAAC